AAGTCAAGAAGTAGGAGGGAGATAACAGGTGAAGCCAACCCAATAACTCCCTGCACTTGACTTTGTTCCCTCTCTTTTATGTATAAATAGAGGCTAAGAGGAAGAGAAGAAAACACAGAAAAGAAGGCAACACAAAGTATATGTATTTGTGAGGTGAGAGTGTTATAGAGAGAGAGAGTGAGGTATGTGAGTTATAACTTCCTTTGGAAAAAATTCTATAGTGGATATCTCTCCCGTGGATGTAGGCAATTGCTGAACCACGTAAATCTCTTGTGTTATTGTGTGTGATTGATTTCTGGTGTGCCTTGATCCTAATAAGAATGAAAAAAATCCATAAAAAGAAAAGGAATTCACTCTTAAACTAGAAAAATTACATAAGTGATATTTACTAATAACCCACCTAAAAAAAAGAAGAAGAGACATTTAACAATATATTATCAATAAAGGACATGGACTGTGAAGTTATCAAGGCAAGCTAGATGATTTAGCTACACAAACATCACAAAACTGCAATTATTAAAATAAACACAATTCAATTATACAAACACTGTAAGAACAAATCCGAAATTAGGATACATAAAATCAAATAAATCAACACAAGTAGCCCATACCAGAAACTTCAGAAGTTGTAGCCCCATTGATCTTGGTCAAAGTCACTGCAACCATTTCCCTAAGCGTCACATGACCTGAAGCTAATTAGTTTCGACAATAAAAAAAACTGAAAACTTCAATTTCACAGTAAGGAGAGAGAGAGAGAGAGAGAGAGAGAAGATATATGTTGGTATGATATAATAAAACTAGAATGACTTTCGACTATGTATCACTGAATGTTATATAACCAACAAACATTCGCCTTGTAGAACACAGATTACATCAAGAAAAAAATTATTCAAAACTCTTAATAGATTTTACTTATGATTCTCAATTTTATATGCTAGTCTTCCAAATTGTAAATAAATAAACATAAAACTAGAGGTAAATCTAATCAAAGGGGTAAAAGTAGGATGTGAGGATGTGGTGTTAACTCATTTATAGTTTGCGAATGACTCACTTTTATTCAGTGAAGCGGAGGTGGAGGAGGTGAGGAAATTGAAAAGGGTGCTAAGGTGCTTCGAAATCATGTCTGGATTGAAAATAAACTTTCATAAGAGTGTGGTATGTGGTATGGGTGTTTCTACGAAAGTGATTAATGAAATGGCCGGAGTCCTAAATTATAAAGTAAAATCTTTGCCACTTACTTATTTAGGGTTACCACTAGGAGCTAATCCAAGGAGGAAAGCCACTTGGAAACCAGTAGTGGATAAAGTGAGAAGTAAGCTCGCGGGTTGGAAAAGGAAGATGCTATCTTTTGCGAGGAGGTTAACTCTTGTTAAATCAGTAGCTTCAGCTTTGCCAGTATACTATTTGTCATTGTTTAGGATGCCTGAAGGGGTCGCTAAAGAGCTGGAGAAGATTCAAGATAATTTCTTATGGGGTGGTTCTGAATTGAAAAGAAAAATTCATATGATCAAGTGGGAGGACATGTTGAAAAGCATGGATCAAGGTGGTTTGGGAATTAGAAATTTGAGGGATGCAAACAAGTGCCTACTAATAAAGTCGTGGTGGAGGTTTGGTAGTGAAAAAGATGCTTTGTGGAGAAAGGTTATTTGCAGTAGAAATAAGTTGGAGATGGCTAGTTGGATTCCACCTCTAATTCCTTCCAATAGTTACTCATCAGTTTGGAATGGAATTATCTCGGTTGCTGAGCAGTGCAATACCTTAAAGGAGTATTATTTGTATAACTTTAAATTGAAAGTAGGGGATGAGAAGAGGATCAGGTTTTGGTCAGATGTTTGGTGTCAATCTGTGTGTTTGAAAGATGAATTTCCAACTTTGTATAGGTTATCTTTGGAAAAGAAGGAGCCCTTGAGAGTCTTGGTTGATAAGAAGAACTCTGCAGGTGATTGGTCCTTTGCTTTTAGAAGAGAACTTTATGAATGAGAGGTGATGGAATTGGGTAGGTTGAACAATATTCTGGTAGCAGCACCTGCTGTATGTGCAGAGGTTACAGATTAACCTGTTTGGTTAGCTTCAACTCATGGGGTTTTAAAAGTTACAGATTTGCAAAAGTTTGCTGTAGGAAATGATGGTGTCACCCTTATTACAACTAAGTTAATTTGACTCAAATATGTCCCTCCAAAGGTGCAGGTGCTTGGGTGGTTTGCTTGGAAAGGGAGAATCAAGACAAGGGAGTTCCTACAAAAGTTGGGTGTGTTCAACCCTAATGGCCCTACAACCTGTGTGTTTTGTAACAGTGGTAGCGAATCAGTGAACCATGTACTCATTTGGTGTCCCTTCGTGTGGAATATCTGGGCTAAAATGTTAAAGTGGTGCGATATACAAACTGCATTGCCATGGACTGTGGAGAGTCTTCTCCTGTGGTGGGCAGGGGGAAAGCTAAAGAAGAAAGAAATGATGATTTGGGGGGCAATTCCTTTGGCAGTGATGTGGTCAGTTTAGAGATGCAGGAATGACTGTGTTTTCAGAGCAAAAGTACCAAATGAAGAGGATCTCTGTGAGTTAATTAAGTATAGGATTGCTTATTGGGTAAAACCACACCTCAGGGACTTTCATTTTTCTGAGCAGGATTTTATTACTAATCTGAGGCAAATTAGGAGGTGCTTGGGTGGGTTTGTTGCTGATTGATGCTCTTGGGTCTGTTGTGGATGTGTAGTGGTAGCCTGGGTGAATTAGCTGCAGCTAGTGTTATGAGGTGTGTATTGTGATGGTTTGTATGAGAAGTACTTTTAGTGTTCTGAAGTGTGTATGGTTCTGCTGGTGTAGCTTTGTCAGTTGGTGCTGTGGTAACAGAGGTGTAATGTTGGTGTAATTGCTGAAACTGTTCTGAATCTGTGTGGTGAACTTATGTGGTGAAGTCCTGCAGTGTGCTCCATTTTAGATGAGCATCTGTGTGGTGAAGCTGTGGTTTTGCTCCCTATGGTGCATTTGATGTACAGCTCTAGTACTAGTGTGGATTGGTGCTTCAAGCACAGTGATGTTTCAGGCCCAGCTGCTGGTTTCTGCACAGATTTTGGTGCTGTTTTGGTCCATACAGATTTTGGTGGAGTTTGCCCTGATTTTGGTGGTTATTCTCAGTGCAAATTGTTGAACTGCAATCTGCTCTGTTTTGGCCTTTTTTTGTAGTGAAATATTATATCAGAATTGGAGGTTGAAGGCTTTAGCTCAAGTCTGGTGTTGTTTGGTCTCATAAATTAGCTGGGCTACTGATTGGAGTTCAAAATAGCAGTTCACTGATTTTTATTGAGTTTGTAGAATGACTAAAGGGCTGCAGTATTGTTCATGGGAATTTAAGGAGTGTAGTTCAAAGGCAATACAAGTTCACGGCTGATCTGAGCTGGTTTCTTCTCCGATTGAAGGCATTGCAGGTTCAAGGCTGATGGTTTGTGCTGGGTTTCTCTGGTGTTGAATGGATGCTGTGATGCTTGGGTGCTGCTGTCAAATGGATGCTCTGTGATAGAAGGGTGTGATTTAGTGTTGTGGAGCTCACAAATAAACTGCTGCTGCATGTCTATTAGGTGGTTGCTGTGCTGCTGTTTCTTTGCTTTGTTTTTTTTGTTTGTTGGTCTCTCACCAACTAGGAGGTTGGAGCTTAATCTAGCTCTAAGCTCCTCTTTATTGATGTTGTCTATCATATGTAATCTATATGTGGTTCATCAATTAAGTTTTCTTTTACCGATCAAAAAAAAAACTAGAGTTTGGAGAGAGGAGATGTTGGGTTACGGTGTAGAGAGAGAGAGAGAAGTGAGGAAAGAGAGTGTATGGGGGTCTATTTCTAGCCCAAGGACAAAAGTGGATTGTTAGACCTAAAGTCAAATAAAATATATATAAAAAATCCCAAAAAGAGGGGCCTAAAACACAGCAAGAATTTTCTAAATTTTCTGTCAAGTGTCGACACCTTAAGGAGGAGGTGTCGACACCTCGCAGCAGTGGTGCTCCAACAAGTTCAACATACATGGGCTATCAACCCCAAAAAGCCTAAGTATCGACACTTTCACGCAGTGTCACACCTAGATCATTTAAGACCAAGCAGTGTCAACACCAAAAAGAGGCAGTGTCAACATTAGGAAGCAGAACTCCAAGAGGAAAAGAAAGAAATGCAAGTGTGTTGGCCCTAGGAGCCTAAGTGTTGACACCTGAATAAAAAATTCAAGGTTCTAAAGCATTTTTCTAACAAATCTGAATGCAATTCAATATCCCTATCATATTCTAGATCAAATTTCCACTCCACCATTATAATATTACCCCACCGAAAGGACCTCAATTAAAAAAATAATGAAACCACACACATCTTACTGCCTTAAGGAGCATAAGTATTATAGTTCTCTTGATCATATCAAGAGTGTTTTGATCTATTTTTGTCAATGTAAACGTTGATAGACTTGATCCTTAGATCAGATTTCATTGTATTCTGGAGGCGAATTTGTTATAACCCCATGCACACTTTTTGGTAGGTGCAAATATCCATTTTTAGTAAAGCAACTTAGTAATGCGACTTGAAGCATCCGTTTTCTGTTTTACACAAACATTTTGATCGCCAATTTTCAAAGACCTGAAGACCACCAAGAGAAGAATTCAAGAAGAATTTCTTAAACACAATGTTCCAAACAATATAAAGTGTAAACATTTACATATGTTCTCTTATGTTGAAGTTGGTATGAATGTTCACATTGTAGTTTATGTTAAGATTGATTTCCAAACATATTATGTCCTATGCTTATTGTGGTTGATTACAGATGTGAAAATTCACATTTTACATAAATTAGGTATATGATCCATCCACAAACATACTATAATTAATGTGAATTTCCACATCTATTTATTACATTGTGAATATTCACATCATGTTTAGGTCCAAATAAACATTGTGGCCAATGGTTATATGAATGAGTACAACGGTGTGATTTGTAAAATAAATGAAATTGGGCTGGAATGCTGTTTAGGTTGTACAATCCAGTGTATTGCCAAACATGTTCAAGAGTACTTACGAGTCTATAACAAAGGGCAATCCCATGTGGAATGACCTATCAGTTCCAGCTTCTAAACTATACTCATGGGACCCCAATTCTACCTATATTCATGAGCCACCGTATTTCAAGAACAAGACCATGGATCCTCCTGGGCCCAGTGGAGTGAAGGATGCTCACTGCTTGCTGAACTTTGGTGATAGTATTACAATGGATCACATTTCCCCAGCAGGAAGCATTAACAAGGATAGTCCTGCTGCAAAGTATCTCCTTGAGCATGGGGTGGAATGCAAGGACTTCAATTCTTGTGGTAGCCATTGTGGTAATGATGAAGTGACGGCAAGAGGAACTTGTGCAAATATCCGTATTGTCAACACGCTATTAAATGGGGAAGTTGGCCCAAAGACACTTCATGCTCCTACAGGCGAGAAACTTTATGTGTTTGATGCAGCAGCGGTCAGTTCTTTAAATGTTAATTTTCTGCATATGCTTTCATCCTGCCTATTCATGTCTTTGTCAGTTTTGTGCCGAACAATAAAACTGCCAACATCTATGATACTAATGCTTTTAATTTCCACAATGATGAAGGATGTAATCAGATTTATTGTGAAATTGTTTGTTGCTTATAAATACAATTAGGGTTGTCATCATTAAGAGATCTCTCATGTTTTTTTTAATGACTTGGGTCTGGAATTCAGCTTCATTAAACAAAATTCTGTTACTTTGAACACCATTGCTGAGAAATGAACTTAAACAAAAAGTAAAATCTTATTTGAAGTCATTTCCTGTAAATTATCTATTCCTGAAAGATAGTAATAATACCCCCTATTATAATTTACTCTTCATTACTAAATTTTTGTGGTCAATCCACCTTTTCAGAGGTACAAGGCTGCTGGACAGGATACTATTGTATTGGCTGGAGCAGAGTATGGAAGTGGAAGCTCTCGTGATTGGGCTGCTAAAGGCCCAATGTTGTTGGTGAGTATTGTTATATGGGCACTTGAACTAGTTCGCACTTCTTGGCTTGTATTGTGTCGTCTTCTGCTCCTTTTAGTAACTATTGGAATGTAACAGGGAGTTAAAGCAGTGATTGCAAAGAGTTTTGAGAGGATACATCGCAGTAATTTGGTTGGGATGGGTATTGTTCCGCTTTGTTTCAAGCCTAGTGAAGATGCAGACTCACTTGGCTTGACAGGTCATGAGCGTTATACCATTGACCTTCCCAGTAAAATTAACGAGATAAGGCCTGGTCAAGATGTTACTGTTAGGACTGACACTGGAAAATCTTTCACCTGCACAGTTCGCTTTGACACCAAGGTACTTCTTACTTTCTTTCATAAGGATGTGTTTTTGTTGTTGTGGAAAAATAGTGGCATATAATTCTTATTGGAAAGAAAATAAAGGGACCATGTGGCTTATGATCTATTAAACCCACAGTTTCTTGTGCTTGGTAAGAAAGAGTATTCTTTCTTGCTTAAAACCAATTTCTAGTTTTCTGAGATGAACCATTATACATATGCTTACTGTAAATTTGTGGGAATTAATTATCAATGTAATCAGGGAAAAACAAAATCCATCTACCATCATTGTTTTAAAACCATCACAATTCAGGCAAATATTGTTTTAAAATCTACAAAATTCACGCAAAGTTCTAGAAATCACCTTATGTTCTCTTTCTGTTTGCTTCCTTTATATTTCTTCCAAAAAGAAAGGAAAAAACACTTTTAATGAAGTGGCCCCATCTAATAAGTTCTGGTAATAATAGCACCCATTGATTTTTTGTTTATTAAGCCCCAAGTGCCCAACTTGCCTGGTAACTTTCCTATTGCATTACTTGGTTTTAGTTGTTTCTTTTCTAAATTTTAGTCCAACCTATCTCGAGAAATTTGACTTCTTGTCAAAATTTATATCAAAATCTAACCCTCCAACAACTCTAGAAGACAAAAATTTTATTTACTAGATGAAAAAGAATAACAAAATGAGAGATATACTGCCCATTGGAATTTCTTTTCGTTATGAATAGTTGACTTAAAATTTGGGTATCTACACTTTCTTGCATCTTCTTTTTCTTGACAAATATAACATTTTGGTATAATTAGTGTTCAAAAGATAAATTATTTCTTAGATCGATATATAGAAAATACCACAAAAGGGTTTGAAATTTAAACTATAATTCTATGTGAATTGCATTTTAGTGAAGAGATGTCGAACATATAACTTTTTGCAACTAAGTGGGCATGCCTAAATTGGCCCATGAAGATAAAATTTGTGGAGCCAACGCTATGTACATATGATATGTTTTCCTGATTATTTAACTACCAAAAGGAGAAGATTTATGCGTGTGCATGTTCATGTGTCATCTACCCCTTTTTTATTCGGAAGATGTTTGCGAGCTTAAGCTCTGAGCTGATGCTAACTATTCCTTTAATTGTAATTATAGGTGGAATTGGCATATTTGGACCATGGAGGCATCCTTCCTTATGTTATTCGGCAACTGATTACTCAGTAATTGATATCAGTCTACAGCAGCTTGATCCTCCATTGAGCTCTTCTAGTTCTAATACGTGAGAAGAGAATAAAGTTTGTAAGAATATAAGCTAACCCCTTGCAGGGATCGGGGATTTTCAAATTACTTCCACCTAGCAGGCGAGTTCAAGTGCCAATGAAAGGTAGAACATATTTTTGTAATAAAGTTCTCTTTTGTTTTTTCGCTTTAGATTATTGCCCGGTTTGGTGCTTGAATGTCATCCTTTGGGGTCCTATGAGTGCAAGATTAAATTTGGCTGTTGCTTGCTAGATTAAGTGAGTTATAGCAACATTCTGCTGGTGCAATGCTACAAATTTTGTTTGAGGAACAATATGGCTTGGACATTTTAAGTTAGTAAACACGGATTGAGATCATTCAAACAAAAGATTCTCCTTTCTTTATTGTTCTTGTTATAATTGTTTGTTCTAGGAGTTCAAAGACATTTGTATGTATAACTTAAAATTGTTGTGGAAACACCTAGCTTGGATATCATTTGTTTCACCATAAGTGAATTTTTTTTCCCATTTGTACAGTGAAAAAATTCCAACTATGTCATTTTGTATGATTTTTTTTTCATGCCACAAATTATTTGTATAATTACAATTTTAGCTTATTCAGTATTCACCGTACAAATGGAAAAAAAAAATCGCTTATTTTATGGTGAAACAAATGATATTAAAGCTGTGTTTTCACAACAAATTTTAGTGGCACGAATGTATCCAAACTCCTATTACACAATAATTGTAACAAGAGAAGGCAATGGAGTTTCTGTGATGCTGTTGGTACCACCCTATTGGATCGGTTGCACTAAGGATGTATGTTCATATGGTTGGTCTGGTTTTGATACCAATTGTAACGTTAGTTGATGCATAAATTTGCAAGTAAAAATGCATCTTGATGGGCTGCTTGTGGCTCTATCGAACATGAAATAGAGGTTTACAAATAGAGTGATACTGCAATGATTATATTTTTATCTCACCATATGATGTGCCAGCCCAATTATTAACACTGTATTGGAAATATACATGAGTGGTCAGACCCATCATGATAATATTATGTAAGTAACATAATAAATATAATATGGTATAAAAATGTGACTAGTGTAACGTAAGTATTACAAATAAGAATTGGCTATCTGAGTATGTTTTTAGTTTCTATTGCATGAGCAGTGATCTATATAAACCATATCATCGATTTGGAACAATTTCTAAATGGATTTTCATCACTAACGATGGTTCATTGCCATTATCATTACTTGAGTTATGTTTTCCTTCAAATTAATTTTTCTTAAGTTTACAATTATTGCATCGTGTTATTTGTTATTAGTAAATTGGCTTAATGGTTGTCTGAACTTGTGATCATGGACTAATGCCCTAAAATGTTTTGAAGCAAGATCAATTCTAGCAGTTGAAAATGGTTCACAATTTTTGTGCTTCAAAATTAATTATTAGTGTTGATGTTACATTATACTTGTAGCAGTGTAATGCTATACAAATAATTTTTTTTAACAAAAAATTCGTACATAGTGATGTGGACTTCTATGATTATTTCATTTGAAGACAGTTCATAATTATAAAAATGTCATTACTACATCATTTAAATATTGTTTTTTAATATCATATGTTCTTGTTCAATTTTTTAAATCATTTGTCCTTGTAGGATTGCAAATAAAGGATGGATGATTGATAAATGCATAAAAAGCATAACAAAAAATCTAGAGCAGTTGAAATGACTATAGAGCAGGATTTAACTAACTTTCAAATTAGTACCAACCTAAAAATAAATACTGTTGTATAATAATGTTTCTAGCAAGTTGTCCCCAGCCACTACAATCAAGATTTGTTTACATATATGAGAGAGAGAGAGATGAATAATGTTTGGAAACAACACATTTTTTAGGAAACATGAATATGTTATTTTAAAATTTTTGAGAACTGTTTTCGCGCAAAAATGAAAAAGATGGCTGTTTTCGAACTTTTCATAGTTTTGTTTCCAAAAACATGAAAAACAAAAACACAACCAAACAGGTTAGTCTTCTGGGATGCTTTGCGGAGCTGGCCTCCATGCTTCATTTGTGCTTCCATCACTTGTTCTAACTTGAGAAATCTTTCTGCTTTTCAGCTTCATTGCACTCAACAATTGCCCCACAGAAGAGTGCTTGGACTCATTACTCAAAATCTGAATCAATTCTGTGTGTCACAACAACTCTAATCCTCACACCTCCACCTTTTGAATAGCCATTATTACTTTCTTCTCCATTTCCATCTTCTTCATGTAGTTTGAACCTTTCACTATTCTTCTTCTTCTCACCATTGACATGCCTCTGTGGTTCTGATTTTGGTGAACTAATTGACTTCTTTTCTAGTGCTTCTTCTTCTCTTGGTTCCTCATCTTCCTCATTATGCACTGAAATTCCTTTACTAGTCATACAATTCCCCATTGTAGAGATGAAAGAAACTAAAAGGTATATTTGAGAAGAAAGAGGGAGAGAGAGAGAGAGAGAGAGAGGGAGGGGAGAGAAAGAGAGCTAGAATATAAAGAGAAAAGGGTGGAGAGAGCACATGAGTGTCTGGTTATTATGCCGTGTATTTTGTTGAAAGAACAAATAATTTTATGGAGACAAAAAATTCACGTAATTGATCACCGAAAATAATCAATAATCATATATGTCAAATGAGGGGATCTGTCACTAAAGTGATGTAGAACAAGTAATTGAAATTCTTAGAATAATTGAATTGACAAAAAACAAAAAAATCAAATTTGGTAGTTGGATCAGAAATCATGTTTTAAATCAATGTCATGGTTGTTCTCAGCAATGGTGCACGGTGAATGTTAGTCAAATTCCTTTATTGAGGCCTTCAAATCAATGATTTTTCCATTTTAAGAAAGTTTTGTTTTAACAATAACTCCATATGTTTTGACATGTATTTAATATTTTCTAATATTCATATTTGGACTGAACTCAAATTTGTCATTTATTATTATTTATTTTTATTTATTTTTGTGTCTAGCAAGTAATTATCCTAATTAGTTTGCTGCCTTGTTTAATTAGAGTTTCGTTTATTGTAAAATGATGTATACCTTAGGCTAATATAACTTTTATCAATAATATTCAATTTCTTTTTAAAAATTCTTATTTTCTTTGTACATTCAAAATTTTCTTTTTGTAAATATAAAATTCATCATCTAGTTTATGTGTAATATTTCATACAAAAGCTGCTTCATTCAGTTTATTTTATTTATAATTTTATAATCGATTCTTTAATTAATTATATGTCGATAAATTATTGAGGTAGGAAATACAAGATATATTTGCTTGAGACCAACACCACCCATAAAATATGCATTTGATATAGCAATATGTTTTTGTATCATGTGAGCACATATGTTTTAGAAAGGAATATTTGTTAATTTTTGACAAAAGCCTTCTGTTGAAAGAGTATGGGTCCACCAGAGAGAAATTTATGGCTTGGGTCAGTTGGAGATGATCAAAGCCATCTTCTATTGTATAAACTTTTCATTGATTATAGATATACAATATGGATATATCATCTTTGATTAGATTTGTTGACAACAGTCCAAATTTGTTTCAGCTAAGCTTCTTAGCACAAAAAGGGAATGGCATTTCTCAGGTTGCTTGCAGCAATGAGCCAATTTAGGTTACAAAGGAACTGTTTTTGGGAGATTTGTTTCATGGAAATGTCTCCTTTTTCCACAAAAAAGGCATGAATTTCACGGAAAGCAAATATACTTGCAACTCTTGAGGTTTGTGCTAGTACATGATTGAGTATGCTTCTTAGTGTCAATTTAGTTGGAATCAAGTTGTTCTACTATAATGCTCTTTTGCACTTTCTTCCTTCATTGATGCTGGACTCATATGTAGGTATGCTTTTTTCCATTAATAAAGTTCTTTCTTTTGCTAATAAAAAAAAAAAAAGAAACTTGCAATGTTTTGATGTTTTGAACACTTCAAATTAGTTGCATAAATTTACTTGGTAAACCATTTTTGACAAATTATTTCCAACAAAATAAAAAAAAAAATTTAAATGGCTGTTTTTGAATTTTGTAAAACAATTTTTGACTTGACAATGAAAAAAAATATGCTTTTGATAAAAAATAGAGAGAAAAAAAAAAGATATGTAAAGACGGTGTGTATTTTTTAACTCCTCTGTATTTTGTATTCAAAAAACTAAAAAAAGAAAACTAATTAAAAAAAAAAACACAACAAAAGTATTTTGAGAGTTGCTAATTGCACTCACCTTTTTTGCAAGTCCACCCACAATATTCTAAGCACACCAACTTCATAAATTTAAAATTTGTAATTTTTCTAAGTACACCCACTTTAATACCAAAATTACCTAATCATTTTCTTCTTTACTCTGTACAATCACCTATTATTAGCCGTATATCACCGCTGTCGCTTTTTTCATTATCGACCAACTAGCACCTCCCATACCCTTGAATCCCTAGCTGCCTATATAAGAAAGAAACGCTAACTGGAATGAGAGGAAAAGGAGGAGGAGGCGGAGGAGGAGGAGGGGAAGTAGAGGAGCGAAGGTGTATCGGGAGGGAAAAGTGTAGTCTGGGACGTCAAGAAAAGTGAATGAAGGAGGTGGTGGAAGAGTTGAAAATCTTTTGTTTTTCTGGTTTTTTTATTTTTTTAATGTTTTGTAATTTTGTCCTTGATAAGTAAAATTATAATTTTATATATATATATATATATATATATTTGTAAATGTAATAAAAAAATTGAATGTGCAATTATAAAGTCCCAATATTTTTGCAAAACGATTTGGTATACCCAACTTTTTGTCATAACCATTTTATTACTTGTATTATCTAATGTTCATCTCATATCCATATATAATTCATAAGATCCAATGACCAGCCGTACTCATACCAAATTAGTACATCATGTGGGTACTTATTGTCTAATGTTCATCTCATATCAGTTGTTTGAATTTCCTTACTCTTTTCATGTTTTTGGTTGGAGTTTTATTCTTTCACTGTAAAAATTTTTTGGTGTTAATTATGTATGTATTTGATCTTCACTATTATGATTTTAATTTATGAAATTTCATTGTAATATTATACATAGACCACGCATATTAACTTGTATATTCACCTCTATTTGAGGGCCAAAAGGTAACAAATTTTATTAAAAAAAATTGAAGACATCAAATAAACTCGCGTATGACCCTAAGTAATATATAATATTATGCCTCTTAAAGCAATGTTATTAATTACGTTTAATTGTGTTGATTTTAATTATGAATTAAAGTAACCTTTAAAATAATCTCGGTTAGAATCAAATGAAATGATGGTTGATTAAGAAGATTAATTACAAATTGGAACATGATTTAGTCCTAGTTTGGTCAAGATAGAACTTGATTGAAAACTAGTACAAACATATCTCCATGATTTGGGGATTTAGTCAAAATTCTTCATGAAATCAAGCATTCTTGTTCCAAAAAGTACAAAACAAAAGGTTCCTCTAGGGTGGCCAGCCACTTGATGAT